CGGCCGCTTCCCGCCAATCGATCCCGCAAGACGCCTCGGCTGGTTCGCATTCGACGAATCGGAAACCAACCAAACCACCTACGACGCAGCACTCGTGACCAAGAACACGGCCGTCGAGTGGTACGAGAAGGAACTCCAATACAGCACTTCCGAATCATGTTCGGAGTCTGTGATGCTCTACGACATCGGCACCGGCGGCCTACCTTCCTACCGTGAAAGAGAGCTCAACGACTCGCCTTATGCTTCGTACCTAGCTGTCACACCACCGACGGCAAAGATCACTGGTGCGGGCATATGTCCGATATTTGGGTGTGCCGATTTCACGATTCCGATTGGTCAGGTGCCGTATCGGAGTGAGGTTACGTTCCATGAGGAGATGGTGCCTGTAACCATTAACATGGTAGTAAAGAGGGGATGCGACTTTGTGCTTTACAACATGATTGAGAAGTTGGCGGATGAGGGTGTGCTGAAGACGGTCAAGACGGGGAGAACAGCTTATTGATAGTAGAGCTGACTTCGTGGAGTGAGTATGCGATATGACATGATGAATGTAATGCAATCTGGAATGACGGTTCTCTTTCTGGCCCCAACAATTGTCGCTTGATATAAGTGTAAGCATCCGACTGTAACGAGTCGCTTGTAGAGTTGCTTGGACGAAATGTGGCCGATGTTAGTTGTCAAGAGACACCATATTGCTTTTGAATCAACGACTGTGGTCACACCACCGCACTGATGGAGAGGAGATTGCCTGGTAAGGCTGCATTGCATTGATGCGAACCAACTGGTCCAGCGCTCTGGTATCTAGAGCCGTAATGCATCATTCTAGCTTTCGAAAAGCGACCACAACGCCAAATGTAGAGTAGACAATACAATGCCCAATGTCTATAGTTCCCCCGACGCTTTTGAGATGCCGTATTGATGCAGTATTAGAAGAAGAATAAGATGCAAAGACCTGCGAGGTCCCAGGTCATGTCTGGGATTCCTCTGGGTGCTCGTATGCGACTTTGCGCACCTGCAAGCACCCGCACCCATCTATGAGCGGTGCATGGTACACCGGTCCAGCGCGTCGAGCAGCTCGGGTCGTTCCGCCAAGGCCTGTCGCGCTTGGGTATAGCTGAACCAATTCCGATTCCGCTTGTGCTGCTCAGGCCACTGAGCTTCTTGCTTCTCGACAGTCGCTTCGAAGAAATGGTACGAGGCCTTTGGGGCCTGGGAGGTGAGCTGGTCGGGTCTGCGCTTCTCAGGGATGAGGCCGAGGTCGTAGTTGATCTTGCATATTATGCCGGCCTCTTCCCAGGCTTCGCGTTTGGCGGCATCTTGGGCAGTCGCTTCGTCCGTCTCCCAGCCGCCCTTGGGGAGCACCCATCCGTTCCGCTTGGTGGACTGGATGAGGAGCACGTAGTACTTGTCGGCAGAAAGCGGGACAACGCCGGCGACTAGGCGCTCGCCTTGGGATCCATAGCCTGCCGCCAATCAGCCGAAAGTTAAAAGCGGTGAGTAGGGAGAGATTCGCGGCACAGGTTCAGGTATTTGGGGTTCGTTGTGGGGTCTCGTGAGCAGACTTACGTTGGTTCACGCGACCGGTGCGCGACTGCATCGACAGCTGCTGGGTAGCGGCCATGTCGGCGCTGAGGTGTCTGTGAGAGACGCGATAGTATCAAGTGGCACCGCGTGTATGCGACTCGCTCGACGCGACGGCCACAGAAGTCAAGGAGGGGCTTGGTCGGAAGAGCAGAGGCGAGCCAGGCGGTGAATTGAAATGAAGCCGAGCCGACAGCGAGTGTGCGTGTGGCTTCACGGGGCAGTGGTGGGGAGCAAGTGTAAAGGGGGCGGATGTGGTAGGCAAAAGGGCTGAGCAAGGCTCAGTCCCGCGGATGACGGGGCTGAGGATGTTGAAGGAGCCTGCGAGCAGCAAAGAAGTTCGGCATGGTGGATGGATGTTTTAGTAGGTGGTTCGGGTCAGGGACTTTTTACGTGGAAACTAAGGGCTCGCGGAAGCGTCACGCCTGTCGCCAAGCCCCGCCTGCAAGAGGAGCTTTGTCCGGGGTGCCTGCCACCCTCTGCACCGCTGCGCATATCTGCACAAAAACTGCAATCAAGCCCCCGGCGCCCTGCCAGAGTAGGCAGAGATCGAGCCGGCGCGCGCCAGACACTGGCCGTCTGCGCTCCCAGGGCGCTGCAGCGAGAGCCGGCGGGGCACGCGAGACCAGCGCGCCGCCTGCAGCCTCTCTGCCTGCCTGCCTGGCCGCTGGATGACGTACAGGCATTTAAGGGATGAATTGCCCACTAGAAAACGCGCAATTGCCCCCGTGTAGACGCTGGCCAGAGTTCGTGGTGCGCGCCCTGCACGCTGTGATACAACACCTCCGCCGTGCTGTTGAGTGTCCTGACCCCGCGACCGACCGCGCTCCTCCGCCAGAACATCGTCGCAGCCCCCCTGACCGCCTCGACCGACACCATCAGTCCGACGAGCCCTGATCTCCAGCAAGCGGGCGACGACAAGGAGCTATTATTCATTCCCCTTCCGGCTGTCCTCGCTCGCCGCCGCGACGACGCTCGATTCCGCCTCGGACCACTACCCCCACCAGCTCCCACGCTTATGCTGCCCTCATGCAGTCCAGTGTGACGCCCTTCGGTATCTTCTGCTCCAACCATTTCCCTGGGTTCCGGCTCGTGCCTGTCTGGCTGGCCACCAACCCGTCTTCGCTGCTCCCAGCACTGCGGACAGGCATCTCCGGACCCTGCCATGGAGAGTTGCTAACGGTCATTCTTAGGCTACAGTAGTGAGTCGTGCGGGTACTGCAAAGACGCATCGAATGGCAGTAGAACCGCCAATTCTCGTACGTGGATTTTCATAGTCATGCCTACTCAGTCATGGATGGATCGCCATGCCTGCAGACCGCTGTCAGAGCGGTCAAGCCTTCTCACACGAACAATGGGCGTCAATGTTGCAGCCGGCGCTTTTCCCGCCTGCATTTGATGTTCCGTTAAGGTTACCTGCGCTCACGTGCTGCCCCCGCGTCGCGTGCAATTCTGCCCGATCCCACCCATGCCTCGAGCGATGCGTCGCCGCCAAGCATCGTCTACGCGTCGGCAGACGTCGTAGAGTGTAGATCCTGCGTCGCGAGATGAATTGCATCACAGCGCATAGTTAATGCTGCCATCGCGATGGTCGCCCTGTCGCATAATCATGGAGCGGGGGAAATCGGAACGAGGCTGAGCGCCGAGAGCACTGGCTGACCTTGCCCGATTAGGAGCAAGCTACTACTTCTCATCGAAAAGCTTGACCGTTGAGGTCTACCAGATCCTCGTGGACCGCGGCTGGAGAAGGTAACGACCCACTCATGCACGGCGCATGTTTGCAAGCACCTTGCATCCCAGCACTATGCCCATAACAGCAGCTGATACCGGCTTCTAGATCTGGTACCATCTTCTACAAGCCCGACGTGCTGCGACACTGCTGTCCGCACTACACCATTCGGTAAGCAGTATTGCAGAGACATCCGACTAGAGGCTTACCCGAGGTTAGTCTACCCGTCGCTTCCTTCAAGCCCTCGAAGGATCAGAGGAAGGCAGTCAACCATTGGAATGACTACGTGCTAGGCGAGGCTTATATGAAAGAGGCTTCTAGGCTTTACCCAATATCGAAAGAGTGCGTAAAAACACCGTGCAGTTCCTACTAGACTAACAGCTCCCAGGGAGAAAGCTCGTGTCAAGAACACGTTTGACCTTAGCCGTGAGATTCACAAGACTGAACTCCAGAACGTCAAGCGCCCACCTGAACCCGCACATCGCTTCGAGGTGACACTCGAACCGGCAGCCTTCACGCCCGAGAAGTATGAGTTGTTCAAGAACTATCAGCAAAACGTACACAAAGAGAAACCTCATGAGATTTCTCAATCGGGTTTCAAGCGTTTCTTATGTGATTCGCCGTTGAAACAGACCTCTAGAACTGTCGACGGGAAAGAGCAGCTCCTAGGATCATATCACCAATGCTACCGACTCGATGGACGACTCATTGCGATGGGCATCCTCGATCTGCTACCTCATTGCGTTAGCGGTGTCTATTTGCTCTATCATTCCGATTTCGAGCAATGGCAGTTCGGAAAGCTGAGTGCGCTACGAGAAGCATCATTGGCGCTCGAAGGTGGTTACCAGTACTACTACATGGGATACTACATCCACTCCTGCGTTAAGATGAAGTACAAGGGCGACTACAAAACTCAGCATGTTTTAGATCCTGAGACGTACGAGTGGCATCCGCTCGATGGTGAGTTACGCGCTCTGCTAGACAAGAAGTCTTATGTCTCCATGTCTCGAGAGCGTCGTAGGAAAGGGCAAAAGGGGGATGCAGAAACGAATGCTGCTGCAGATCAAGACGACTACTCCGACTATCCTCTACCAACAGCTGTCGAAGGTGGCAAGGCCATTTCCGACGGCATGTCGTTGTTCGATTTAAAGGTGCCAGGGCTCATGACAGCCGAAGAAATCGAACAGCAACTTGACCTGGCCACCATGCCCATCCGGGTCCGTGGACAAATGGCGGAAGCTCAGGTACGCGAGCAGCCCATGCATGAATGACTTTCAATCGATACTAACTACCTATAGGATCTTGTCTCTTGGGAAGGTAGCGATTTGAAGAACCCCCGTTCGATCAAGGGCATCATTGGCGAGATGGTCGCATGCATGGGCCCTGAAGTCGCATGGCAGGTAGTGGTACAGCTTGGATGAAGAGCATGAGGTCACGAGAACCACGTCGAAATGTTATCCCATGATGCATGAAAATAGAGACCATGTAGTTCGCCTTCGATGCAGCGTCAATATAAATCAGCTAGATGCGCAATTCCATGCTCATGAACTCTGTCCGGTTGCTTCCCCTAGTGACGAAGTAGCTGGCCCCTTTGAGCCTAGCTTGTACGTACGCCGAGGCTGCCGGTCGGAATATCGTCGACCTTGCCAAAAGTTCACGCACAACACGGCGATTGACGTAGCACGCAGCCATGTCCGCGTCGCCCCTTACACTCGTCGTGCGCCCCCGTGGTATGTTCTCTCTGTTCATTGAGTTGGCTCTAGCCTGGCTGAGCGCGTTCTGATTGCTGTTGGCTAACCCCTCTATAGGCCGCCCGATCAAGAATCTCCCCGAGACCATCACCGTCCCGTCCGATGCGACCGCCTCTCAAATCTTTGAGGAAATTGCAAAGGCCTCCAGGTTCTCAATTCACCGATTGAGGGTTACCAAGGGCAGTGATGGCTCGCCGATCAACAATGTGCGCGATGTCACGGTCCACGACACAGGCCTGAGGAACAAGAGTGCTGTGGATGTAAAGGATCTTGGTAGACTACATATCGTCTGATGACGAATGAGATGGCTAACAACGTGCAAGGTCCCCAGATCTCCTGGCGAACCGTCTTCATCGTCGAATACCTCGGACCCCTCCTCATCCACCCGCTCATCTACTTCGGCCGCTCCCTCATCTATGGCACCTCGGCGCCCCCCTCGCAGCTCCAGAAGCTTACCTTCCTCATGTGCGTCGCCCATTTCGCAAAGCGCGAGTTCGAGACCCTCTTCGTCCACCGCTTCTCGTCGGCCACGATGCCCATCATGAACATCTTCAAGAACAGCGGCTACTACTGGATCCTCTCGGGCTTCAACTTGGCATACTGGAGCTACGGCCCTAACAGCCCGGCTGCTAAGCCTTCGAATCCGCTCCTGACATATCTCGGCGTTGCCCTATTCGCAATCGGCGAGGTCTGCAACTACAGCACGCATCTGACGCTTAAGAACTTGCGCCGTCCAGGCAGCACTGAGCGCGGTATCCCTAGGGGACTCGGCTTTGATCTAGTCACATGCCCCAACTACATGTTCGAGGCAATGGCTTGGATCGGCGTGGCCCTCGTCAACTGGAGCTTGAGCACCGTCATTTTCATCATCGTGGCTGTCGGTCAGATGGGTGTTTGGGCCTGGAAGAAAGAGAAAAGGTATCGCAAGGAGTTTGGCGACAAATATAAGCGCAAGAGGTACGCCATCTTGCCCGGCATCTGGTAGAATGACGCATCAGGCGATGGGTACCGTTTCATTGAGGAGGCTGCACTTGACAGGTGCGTGGTGCTAGCTGGGAGGCTTTGCGCACATGGGGAATGCGAGAAGATAACCAATTGAAGACAAAGAACAATATATGAGTAACAACAGAAGCCGCTAAGGCTGCGGCGAGGCGCACTTGTAGAACTACAAGACGTAGGCCGTCACACCCACTCAAAACGGTGACACCTCCGCAGGTACCCGTAGCTGATGTGCCGATGCCTCTGGCCAGCTCAATCACACTAAAGATGTTCGTCACTTGTTTGCTGAAAGACCTTTGGTGACAGATCTCGATGTAGCTGCGTGATGAGTTTACGTCTGTCCTTGACTCATTTGTGCACCTCAATATATTGACAAGGCTTGTGATATTGAGTGTGTGCTCGGCTTGTGATATTGAGTGTGTGCTCGATTCTGATTTCCAGGTACAACCATCATCCACACCACAACCCAATGTTTTGCTTTTTTGTCGTGATGGCTTGTTGGATCTGCCCGCCCGGCGGCCACTCCCACATCGCCCCGATGAACGCCGAACAAACCCTGCATAAGCGCGGGAAGAGCATGCCACCCACCTGTCATCTCCCCACCCACGCATTTCCCAAAAGCACGCTCACCGACACTCATAAGCAAGTGAGGCTCGACCGACCTGCAAATCACGCTCAATATCTCGCTGCCTGCAAGAAACTGCCTGCAAAAAGGCAGATCGAGGCTGAGATGATGCGGGCCCTCATTTCTGCCTACCAGCGGTCAGCCAAACAACCCAGCCGGCAAGCCCGTTCGTGATCAGCCCTAGCCTTAGCCGCAGCACTACCTCGACCTGCCGAACTGGCTAATCAACAACTCTCCATTGGCCATTTACCGTGTTTGGGCACGCCGGGCCGCGGCTTACGATGCCCAGGTGGGAGAAGAGGACCTTTCTTCAGCTGTGACGGGCTGGGCTGGGTGGCGCTTTTTTATTCGACGATCCCCGGTGAGAACTAGAGGGACTGCTAGCTTCAGCCGCAGTTACGCATCTGGTCGTGTGAGGACGCGTGTATAAGAGGACTGAGGCAGGAGCCATTGTGGGACGAACAATAGCCTCACTCCCATTGTCCTCTTGTGCTGAACCATTTCGATCGTTCTGTTAGCGTTTGATCTGGTGTTGCGCACATATACCCCTCGTTGCTTTTTCTTTGGCTGGCTGCGCGGTCTTCGGCTTGAACTACTTGCATCTGCAAGGCTGGTCGTCACGTTCTTGCCGGTCACATCTCGTTCTTGCTACTTCGAGTAACGGGCGAGATTGTTGAACATCGTGACGTCGATTGCAGAGGCGGTAAGAGTACACAAGCAACCCCACGAGATACTCTGTGTTGCGTACCTAACACAGGAACTACTCGCTGAACGGTGTTCGACTGAATGTAAGCCCGACGGTATCTCTTATTTACTCCTTCTGCTGTCGCTCCTATCTCCTTTTGTAGCTCCTGTCTTTCCGGTTGGATGCACCTACCATTTCCAGATCTTCGAGCAAGATGCGGCTTCCAGATTGCCCGCCAAGAAAACTGTCCCTTCTCAACCCAGTCGCAAGATCAGATCTAGCCGAGAGAATGACACTAACACAACCTTCCAGCATACCCAAAGATATGGCTGCAATAACAGCAGATGCGAAAGCGGCGTGGGACGCCCACGTCGATACCCGCACAGGCGCGGAGCCACCAAAACCAGCTGACCCATCTGAGATCAGCACACTCAGAAACAAGATCGGCAACTCTTTCAAAGCAGCAGCAGCTTTACTAGGCGCTGCAGCAGCCCCGGTTCCCGACCAGACAGGCGATGGCTCCAAGATTGCCCCAGAAGAGAAGGCTAGCTTGTACAAGAAGATTGAGGGCAGTCTTCGAGATATGTCTCACCTTGGTGTTGACAACATCCAAAGTCTATTGGAAATCCAGAAGGAGAAAATGCTTGGTGGCTATACTGATGACAAGACTTACCTGATGGAGGGTCTTATCCGAACCGCCGCCAAGCTGCCCGACGGATCCAAAACTAGGGACGCAGTTACAGGCAATTTCCTAGAGCAGCTATGGAACGACTTGCAACACCCACCGCAGTCGTACCTCGGAGAGAAATTCCAGTATCGATCCGCAGATGGCTCCAACAACAGTCTTGTCAACCCCCAAGTGGGCGCAGCAGGGACACCATATGCTAGAACAGTCAAACCATCTCAGATGCAGACCCCCGCGCGCCCAGATCCGGGTGTCGTATTCGACAGCATCATGACCAGGAAGCATGCCGAACTGCATCCCAACAGGATCTCGAGCATGCTGTTCTATCTGGCATCTATCATCATCCACGACTGCTTCCGGACGAGCCACGAGGACTTCGCCGTTTCCATGACATCTTCTTACCTCGATCTGTCGCCCTTGTATGGGAGTAACCAGACCGAACAAGACATGATGAGGACCGGACGCGATGGAAGGATCAAGCCTGACTGCTTCTCAGAAGCGCGATTGTTGTTCTTCCCTCCCGGTGTAGGCGCCATGTTGATCATGTTCAACCGTTTCCACAACTACACTGTCGAGAACTTGGCCGCGATCAATGAGCAAGGGCGCTTCAAGAAGCCTTCGAATGAAGCGCCCCAACCTACTGGCGATGCTGAGGCCGAGAAGAAGGCAAAGGACAAGTACGATGCAGCATGGAAGAAGTACGACAATGATCTGTTTCAGACTGGTCGTCTCATCACCTGCGGCCTTTACGTCAACATTATCCTGATCGACTACGTCCGCACCATTCTGGATCTCAACCGCACAGATAGTAACTGGCAGCTGAACCCCCGCGCTGAGGTAGCGAACCTACCCATGGGTGTTGGCAACCAGGTCTCAGCTGAGTTCAACCTCGTTTACCGATGGCACTCTACAGTGTCCGATCGCGACGAGAAATGGACGCAGGAGATGTGGGACGGTATGTTTGGCGAAGGCCGTGATCCCAAGTCTATCAGCAAAGGCGAGTTCCTTGGTACCTTGAACAAAGTCTACAGCAAGACCGATCCGGATCCATCGAAACGCAAGTTCGCTAATCTGGAGCGAAGCGAGTCCGGGACGCTTCCTGACCAAGGCCTTGTTGACATCTTGACATCAAGCATTGAAGACTGTGCCAACTCTTTTGGGCCAAACAGAGTTCCCGCTGTTTTCCGTGCTATTGAGGTTCTCGGTATCGAGCAAGCACGTAGCTGGAACTTGGGCTCGCTCAACGAGTTCAGGAAATACTTCAAGCTCGAGCCGCACAATACTTTCGAAGACATCACATCTGACAAGTACGTACAAGAACAACTCAAGCACCTCTACGACCATCCCGATAAGGTTGAAATCTATCCTGGCATCGTTGTCGAGGATGCGAAGCAACCCATGGCTCCAGGTTCCGGTCTCTGCCCAGGGTACACCGTCTCTCGTGCTGTTCTCTCAGACGCGGTAGCGTTGGTGCGCGGCGATCGATTCTACACCCACGACTACAACCCGCGCACATTGACTAATTGGGGCTACCAGCTTGCTGATAGCGATCTTGGTGTTGACAATGGATGCGTCTTCTACAAGCTCTTCCTGCGCGCTTTCCCACAGCACTTCAAGTACAACAGCGTGTACGCACATTACCCTCTAACGGTTCCTTCCGCGATGAAGGTTGCTCTCACCGATCTGAAGAAGGACAACTTGTACGACTTCAGCAAACCAGTTGCAACAGCACACCCACACTTCGTCAAGGAGTACAAACTCGCCACCGATATCATGAAAGACCAAGCTACCTTCAAAGTCGTCTGGGGCAGAGCCATGGAATACATCATGGGTCCCGCATCCGCCGACTTCATGCTTGCTGGCGACGGACCCAAGAATGCCGCATCAAGGCAAATGGTCAGCAAAGCCCTTTACGTCTCGTCGTGGGACAAGGAAGTACGCGACTACTATACGCTCAAGACCAGGCAGCTGTTGAAAGAGAAGAGCGTAAAGATTGCCGATTTCAACCAAGTTGACATCATACGCTCCATCGGCAATCTTGCCCACGTTCACTTCTGCTCTGAGCTCTTCATGTTGCCGCTCAAGACGGCCGCACAACCCTACGGTATCTTCACGGAGGCTGAACTCTACCTCATTATGTCGTCGGTCTTTGCGCTCATCTTCTTCGATGCGGATCCTGCTTCGTCTTTCCCCTTGCACGTCAAAGCAAGGAAGGCAACACAATTGCTTGGAAACATCGTTGAGAAGAACGTGCAGGCCATTGCAAGCTCTGGAATCTTGTCCAGTATCATGGCAACAATCTGGCCTCAGGAAACTACCATGAAGTTCTATGGCGTGCATATGATCAAGCGACTGCTAGAGAGCGGCATGTCGCCAGAAACCCTGACTTGGGGTCATATCCTCGGTACAGCAGGTGGTATGGTGTCTAACCAAGGCCAGCTCTTTGCTCAAACGATCGAATACTACATCCTCGGCGACGGCAAGAAACACTGGCCCGATATCCAGAAGCTTGCTGAAACCGACAGCGAAGAAGCGTTCGAAAAGCTGATGCACTACACTATGGAAGCAGGCCGTCTAAACGGCGAAACAGGCGTCATCCGCGCCGTCGCGAAACCCACCTCCATCACCGAAAACGGAAAGACGACAGACCTCAAACCAGGTGATGCTGTCTTTGTGAACTTACGCGTTGCATCTCACGACCCAGACGTCTTCCCCAACCCAGATGAAGTCGACATCACACGCTCCCTGGATTCCTACATCCACCTCGGATACGGTCCACACCAGTGTCTCGGACTACCGATGACGCGCATGGCGCTCACGACTATGCTCAGAGAAGTCGCTCGACTCAAGAATCTTCGCCCAGCGCTGGGTCCGCAGGGCAAGATCCACAAGGTGGAGAAGAAGATGGGGCCGGGCGAGGAGAAGTACTCGTACCATGCCTATTTGACGGAGAACCAGGATATGTACTTTCCGTTCCCTTGTGGTAAGTCG